ATGGTGAGCGTGTTTTTAATGCCAATCACATTATAAAATTCGGAAATAACAAATCCGGAAGCTAGCCTTCAAATTCCGTCAAGTTTACTGCCTACTTTTTACAAACTTCGGATTTAAAAAGTGATTCACGTTATATAATTGGTGAGGTGATTCTGGGTGATTTAAGCAATATCATATTAATGACAATCAATCATTGTTGAAATTAAGCAAATATGTGCTTTGACAATTTTTAAAAATCAACCCTAAAGGATGAAATGTTGTTGCTACGTTTGTATTTGAAATCTAAGATGGCGACATTACATAAAATTAAAACGTTATAAGGGCGAATTGGGAGTTAAAAGGTTTTAAGGAGAAACACTATTAATTTCTGCGATCGAAGCCGCGGGGAAAAGCTAGTATAATATAAAAGGTATTGTAACTTTTCGTTCTCATTTCTTAAGAGTTATGTGTGTGTGTGTGTGTGTGTGTTTGTGTGTATCTGTATATGTGTTTTGTTTTTTAATAACTATCAAAAAATGTTTTTTCTGAAAACGCTTGCATTTTTTTGTTAAAAGTTTCTAAAGAAAATTATCGAATAATTTGCAAAATGGGTAAACAAAACAGTTTTGATTAGTTTTCCATATCAAGAGAATTATGAGGCAAAAATAATCCCCCATGTAGAATTTATAGTGTTGTCAGATTTTACATTGTTACATTTCATTTGGTATATGAAATTTCAAAACTTCAGTTAAAGACTGGACAATAAAATTGGTGAAGGCGCCGGGAAATAATTTTATAAATACTTGCTGTAATCACATATTAAAGAAAAAGGATAATAACAAATATCTGGGATAGAAAAGATTAGGTATATGTCCAATACATTTTTCTAGAAACTAACGTTTTGTCTTAAAAAGAAAGCTTTTATTCGAACTTCGAGTCTACAAACAACTGTAAACTTACAATTGATTCATTATCAAGTATCCACGATAAATAAATGAGGAAAAGTATCAATTAACAACTGTTTCAATTTACTACACCAGTTCGAAACTGTTCTAATAAAATAAATTGTTCCAATCAATCTTGCAGTTTAAGGTGAATTCGCTGGATAGTCTGTTTTCTTATCGATTTTCGGTACATCAACCTCTTATTACACTTTTATGTGATTTTAATGATAGTCACGAAGTAAGGGAAGTTTCCCAGTTTCAAATTCTCACAAATGCAAGTTTACAACTAAAAGACCGAGGGATCTAGAAACTTTTAAAGGATGATCTACGTGATCAAATTTTAAATCGAGAAAAGTTCCGAGATTGTACAAAATTGTTACAGATCTTTATTTTAAGTAAAAAGGTTTTGATATTTAGGGTGAATAGTGTTGTTACTATTGTATTATTACAAACATTATTTTGAAGCCTGATGGATTAGAAAACTACAGGCATAATATAGAAAACGATGCAATTCATTCAATGCTACAGACTTTTCTCTTGTACTTACAAACTTTGAAACATACGTAAACATACAACTGAATATTTATTTTTAATCATTTTGTCAACAACAACAAAAAGTAGAATTTTAAAAGACTCAGTTTCCTGACATTAAAAAGATGCTAAATACATACACGTAAAGTACAAAGGTCTTAAGAAACTGGATTCCTGGAGTCTAACCGTGTCTTATTGAAGAAATCCTCATGACGGATCATGGTGGCATCAGAATTGTTCGACGTTTCGTCTCCTACCACAAGGAACATCTTTAGGAACTTCACGTTGTCCATCTCCAACGCTTCTGAGGCCACCATTTCATCAATAATAAGACACGGTTAGAATCTGGATATCCAGTTTCTTAAGACGACAACCATGAAAACCTAAATCAACCTTTAGAAGACAAGAACTCCAAAGACCAAAATTCGTAACAAGGAAAAATGCTCAAGGGTAAGATGAAAATCATCAACGTCTTATTTCTCTTGCTTTTGTTCAACATAATGTGAGCCTGCCGACGATATTTTTTGGAAATGTTTTGACAATTCATTTGTCATAAATATCAGATGTAGTTTTTCCTCTTTATTTCTTCACGTTGTTTGATCCAATTTAATGGATGTTTATTTTTCGTTTCGATTTTGCGTGACCGCCTCTCTGTGCGTTGTCTGAGGGATTTCCGGTAATTTTCTCTAAACATGAAAGGATGTTTGTCGTACAGCAAAAAGGAAACCTACGACTTAATTTTCTAACCCAACAGACAAGAAAATAACCTTTGTTTATACTGTTTTAGGACGTTTTACATTTGCATGAAGGTGTGTCAGGTAACACAATTTATGTAGGCACACACATAAAATGTAATAATTGTTTGCTTTTTATTAACATATGAAACAAAACCACTCTTTACGTCATTAAACACAAATGCAGTCCTGCAGGGGTTTTCTTCATGTTACGCTTACTCTAGTGATAATCAAAACCACCTTATCGTTATTAGTTCCGCATTTTTTTCATCATCATAAAATCGTCAGTCCTAAGACTGGTTGGACACGCACCTCCACTCTTTCCTATCCTGAGCTAATCTTTGCATTTCCCTAAAACTAGAAGAACCCACATCCTTAACTATTTGCGAACATTAATCTAATCTAAGTCTATCTCTACTTCCGTTTCTGCCTCTAAATGATTTGTTGTGCGGAAACTATCCGGCTCGAAGGACCAATAAATGTTGGATGAAAGTGATTATTCGAAAATAATTGACTTCATCCAACATACACCTTTAACAATCTTTTTCGAATTTCTAAATTAACCGCTTACGAGCATTATCAAATTCTTAATGTACCTACGGTATGCGGTGCACTATTGATGAAGGTTCCATCTGAGTAAAGATTAGAATTTGTTTTACAAGTTTGGGGTTGAGAGACGTAACCAGTTTGGTTGGTTTTGCCTTATAATTATCAGATTATCAGTGAAAAGCGTTTAAGATTAGCTGAACATTACGGTTCTTTCAAAATAACATTTTTTTTTTAAGTTATACCGTACTATTCCTATTAACATTTAATATGTAAAAGGTTTGACTAATACTAGATGTCCTACAACGTACCTACCTGTAATCAAGAGGATTTTAGACTGTGTAAAGGATAAACTATTTTTAGGTCAGGATAACAATTGCTCCTAACAAATCATTAAACTAAAGGAAGAATTTTTAGAATCATTTTACTGTTTTGGAGATTATCCCCAGGACCGATAGATGTTGAGGGTGTGGTGGGTCAAGAAGAATTCCCACTCGGAAATTTTAGACCATTTTTCAGAAATTGAAACTGTGTAAATATTTTTAACACTTGTAAAATTTCTTTATTTACATACAAATTTTCTGCACCCCCCTGGGCCTACACCACTGTTAATTACTCATTCGGGTCTTGTTTACCTCTACATATGAACAAATAAATACTTTTTTGTGAACAGTTAAAAGTTCCACTGCAAAACACAAAATAAGAAATTCAGTACTGTTTACACTTACCATGCGTCAGAGGAAAGCAAAAGCACAATTTATACCATTTGTTTTTCATTTTGTCCAAACACCAAAACGGAACAGTCAATTCAAGCAAATGATTTGTGAAGGTTTTATATCGATATTTATTGAACAACAACAAAACACAAAACTCACGATTTTAACACGTTTTTATAGTCACTTGTCCTTGGTATATCAAAGACTGAAGAAATGAACAATTTAAAGTAATTATCACGGGTAGGAGGTTTTATCGTGAGTTAGATATTTCACAATGTGCTTAAAAAAACGTAATTTTCGGCCAAAAGGAACATCGAACTTTGCTGATTTATCAGGAAGATAAATTAACACTTTCAATAAAAGTGTTGTTTGTCTGCTCTGGTGAAATATTGGCTATTATATAGATTTATGTCTAATCCGTTTGTATAAGAACAGGATGTCCCAAATGAAAACGAAGTTCAATTAAAAAAATCAGTTACATCTTATTCGTCCAAATTATAAATCGCAATTTTAACCAAATACGCCCCTGCATTTATCGAATCAATAAAAAAAATAATTCGAATTGCTTTCTGACCACACGAACACAATTACAGAACGAAAACCGTTTAAATCCTGATATCCTTTTCTGTCAAATAAAATGAAAAAGGCTGTTATCGTTAAATATATATATATATAAGAATGAAAAATTGCTCCTTAAAGAATACTCACCTTTATTTTACTTTTGTGTGAGGTTTAAGGAGCCTGTGAAAAACGATGAAAGTCTTTTATTTCACCATAACAGACTTAAGAAAACGATATAAAGTTTTTCATTTCACATCTAACTCGTTAAATATTACATAATTTTGCAGTTTTTTGAAATTATTTTACAACATTACGTTTTTGTGTTTTCTTTACGAATAGTTTTTTTTCTCATCATCATAAGATCGTGAGTCCTAAGACTGGTTGGACACGAACCTGCACTCTTTCCTATCGTGAGCTAATCTTCGCATTTCTCTAGAACTAGACCAACCCATATCCTTAACTATTTGCAAACAGTAAGAGTAATGTAATCTAGGTCTACCTCTACCCCTCCTAACTTCCGTTTCTGTCTCTAATATTGTTTATTTGAAGACGACTCGACCCTGTGATATCCTCTGCTTTATATCCCTACACTCCTTCCGTCCTGACTTATCTGACTTCCCAGATACCTAAAATCGGCCACTTCTTCTAATTTTTTCTCCTATCTTTATATTCGCTCTTTCCCTACTTTTTCACCCCTTGCACACCAGTATTTTTGTTTTACTTTTATTTATATTCATACAGTACTGTTTTGTCAATACCACTTCCATTTTATTTAAAGCTATCTCTAACTCCTCCTTACTAGATGCTAATACTGCTATATCATCTGCAAATCTAAGCATACTAATCTTTTAGCCCCTGTATATCTATCCCTACAGTTGTACTGTCTGTAAAGATGCTAATCGCGTCTTCGATGTAAAGATTAAAAAGTAACTAATTTAAACTACAAAAATACTTTCATCAGTTTATGTATTCAATTCAATTAGGTTCAATAGTGTGTGAAAAATAAAAAAATGAAGAAGTTGACGATACTCAATAAATTGTAAAACATCGCAGATTTATGTATGCGTTTACTTAACATAATTATTTGAACAATTTTAAGGCTTCTGTAGCTTACAATTAGTTATGGCAACGTATGTTCCGCTGTAAATTAACTGGCAGACAGCGGCATTGTTCTCATAGTTCATCTCTGGAACTTTGAATTCCGGATTAACAGCTACTTTCATCGTATATAATCCCGGCATCAGTTCTGTAATATCAACCCACTGACAGTCGACTGAATACAAATAAATATCTGTACAATTCACAGAAATTCCCTGGTCTCCGAAATTAGCACAGGCATATCGAGGCAGAACCCCAGGCGAACACTGGTTGTCTTCCAAGCAAAAGGAGGCTTTATGACCTTCCGCAACACGGACTCCTTTTCCATCATAGATATCGAAAGTTGCAAAAATTTCCATACTGTGGAAATGCCTGCAACGTTATTCGTCTCAACTTATTAGAATTCATTTCAGTTACTTATTAAAAAGTTCCAACAAATAACTTTACTGAAATTTCCTGTTCCTACATTGTTCTTTCTCTTCTCAGACACAAAAGTAAATGAGTTTTATGACCAAAAAAACCATCAGATAAACAAAATACTTGTTAAAAAGAAAAAAAGTTAAAGCCTGATTTATCCTATCGGTCATACGTGAATTGAATAGAAGCCAATAAATTATTTTACTTTGAAATCGCACATTTGTTGTAGCACCATCAAGTTAAATTGATGACTTATCATTATTAAGATACTTACATATGACACATGTGCCATTCCCACATATGTTTAGGTAGGAAGGGTCTAAAGTCGGCGGTGCCGCCGTTAAAAATGCTCGCAGTAAATTTAAGTAAACGTCTAGTGCGATAAAACCAATAAGGATCTTCCCTCTGAATATCGTAAGCTCGAGATGCTAGACAATTTTCTTCCATGGCACATTGTAAAAAGTACATCGATCTATCTTCTAGATGTGCGGTTCTTATTATTTCGAGATGATTTATAACTAAGTCAGCCATATCCTTTACACATTGAACCGTGGCGACTACACCTGACGGGCACTCTCCTTAAAGATTCCTTTGTTCCGTAAGTGCATTTACATTTATGAAAATTAATTACACAGCGAAGGGGCAGTGGTAAATTCGGCCGGTCAGTATGACAGGTGGAAGAATTCATTAGAATTACCTACGCACGCGTACCTGCGAACGTGTATCTATGCACGCGTACCTACGAGCGCGTACCTACGAACGCGTACATACGCACGCGTGGTCAAATAAAGATAGGCACTGATTAGTAACCCTGTGTCAACTGCAGTCTTACTACCAAAACGTACAATTATTTTGACAGTATTGATCGGGCATTGCGGATATATGAATAATTTAATAATCAGCTATTTTGCATAATAATTCTTCAGTTACTTTAGCATTAAGTGGAACACAAGCCGGCCGAATTTACATTTTATTTTTGAAACGTTTCCGGCCGAATTAACCACTGTAATTAGCAAAAACCCATTAAATTGGCCAAATGTACAATCCCCGCAGTGAAAATATTGAATTGAAAATTTCAAATAAGACTATGACAAAGTTCTAATCGTAAATAAAGGATGATTTTTGCCTTTGTTATAAAAGAAATTACAAAGAAGATGTAAACATAAATCCATGATATTTGTTTCCTTATCTCATATATTTTACCTTTAAATAAATTATTATAAACACATTCGCTAAGATGAGTTTCATTTCCCCTGCATTGCAGGCCAGCTATTCCAGAGTAATTCCCTAAAACTCTAAAGGCATTAGTCTGCAATGCATACTTTGCAAAGCCCTTGTTTAACGTTTTACATATCACCAAGCCCTCCAACAACGAAAAACCCTCTCCACAAACGGTATACCATAATCCGTTATTAGACTTTTTTATTTGAACAAAACCCTCTTCTGGAATTCTACCCCCTTTTAAAGCTATCTTTCGAAATTTTCCTAATTTCGTTCTGAAATAAGGTAACCGATAACAATGTATGAAAATTATTCGTGAACATTATTTCATTAGATAATGTAGAAATTAAAAATTGTTATGTATCTAAAGTATTTAGATTCAGTTATTATGATATACCCTATATAATTATGATACATACATTTTTTAATCTTAATATTGAAAACTATGCAGAATAATATGATTTACTTACTTCGTTAGTTAGTAATGATACTAAAGCATGAATCGTCAACATATTTTTATGATCAATTTGTCAAGTTTCTCTGTTTTACTCACAATGCTATTTCCTGTTTATTGAAGACTGAAGATGAATAATTTTGATGTTTTATTTTATCAATACAAATCACACCTGCGGCTTCGTTTATATCGCAATCGCTATTGCCCCACCCATTAAATCTACATAAGGTCAATTCCTTTTCAGTTCCATTACAATAAATGTTGTCCATCCAAAATTTTCCTGTACATAAATCAATGAATGCAGTTATCCGAAAAGTATATCAACCATTAAGTCATAAATGCACCATTAAAATTAATTATGGGTAGGGAATTGGTACTCTTAAAGTGAATATTTTTTTGAAGTGAAACTTCTTTACGCACGGTAGGGTAAGTTCGTTTCATGCGAGTTGCTATGTAACGAAATCATGCAACGCATTTTCCCCGCTGTCTGTCCCTTTGTATGCTTAGATCTTTAAAACTACGCAACGGATTTTAATGCGGTTTTTTAAATAGATAGAGTAATTCAAGAGTAAGGTTTATATGTATAATAATTGCATAATATAATAGAGAAACACTGATAATTTTAGAGGTTTGTAAAGTGATGTCGTAAATAGACACATTTTTTTGTGCTTACATTACAAACGCTGACTGAACCCTACGAGATAGATCAGAATAATATACTACAGTATTGTACACCTTAAAAAGGTTTACAAAAAAGTCCACAATGGTATATGTCTGTCTCTTAGGGATAACCCACAATAACCATTTTTTATCCTTTACTTTTTACTAGAAATAATGGCTTATTTACGAAGCGATTTTAAGCAATATAGCATTAATCCTTATCCAATTAAGTACTTTTAAATACTTTGTGCATTTAATATAGATCAATATGGCACTTTACAGCACGTAATTTAAATGAATATTTTCTAAGATATTACAGACTTAAAATGCAGGGACAGCGGTTGCGGTGGCACCGGCCGGTTTGTTTTGTCTAATGACAAAAAAGCTGTGATTGTTGTATATAAAGGCATTCTATAGTATATTTACTATCAGCATTGCACCCGTGCGAAGCATAGTGTACAAATAATACCATTAAACCAATTCCTTAACCCCTATCCCGGTATGTTTGAAGAAGTTTCACTTCAGTAGCATGTTGTATAATTACACGTTGTATTTTTTTTGTTGAGAAAAAACTAAAAACTTTTGTAACAGTTTCGGAAAAACAAAATTAATTACTTGAAGATCCTCACTCATCACACGGTAAAAGGACTAACGTAATATAAAATAATTACGTAAAATTGGTCTCAACGCACGCGATCGCCTGACAACGCAACAAAACCACATTACCGATTAATTACGGAATTAAAATTAATGTCACCATAAGAAAGCATTTTTATAAGACCAGAAGCGTTACCTATAAAACTCTTAATATGTATAGTATGCCCCAACAACCCTTTTTACGAGAAAAACTAATCAGAAAATGGTAGTTGGAAAATATCCTCTGGGAAAAAAAGCCCCCAGAAAAAAGTCCCCCGGAAAAGAATTTCCCCTCTCGGAAAAATGAATACCCTTGATTTATTATAATGTGATGGTAAAATTTATTAGGAATGTAACGTGGTTCGGTTATCAGACAGTTTTTATATCTGTATATTGACAGAATACATGATTTAGTATACTACATGTACATAAAAAGAATCATATGTTTGTTATTATTGCCGAAAAAAAAAGCCTCCGGAAAAGAATTTCCCCTCTGAAAAAATTAATACCTTCGATTGTAAATGGTAAATTTTATTAGAAATGTAACGTGGTTCAGTTATCAGACAGTTTTTATATCTGTATGTCGACAGATCCACGATTTAGTGTACTACATGCAAATAAAAAAATACTTGTTTGTGTAATGACTGCAGAAAAGGAAATTGTTTATCTCTGTTATTATTTAGTTTTCAAATAATTTATACATAATATTTATAAATATTGCTTTCTGACAATGAAATAACGTACAAAATGTTCGCAATACAATTTAATAGAAATAAGAATAGATCGAGTAGATAATTAGCTACAACGTTATTACCTGTTGTTTTAAATTGTAATATTAGTAGAAAACAAACTTTTGTTTGTGAAGTATTCTTAGAGATAAATAATAAATACTTTTTGGAAAGTCAACTCCCAACATAATGTTATCGTTACACATATTAGCAAAAAGTAAAAGTAATTGACTAGAACTCATGCTGTCTATTCAACGTTATCATCATCAAGAAAGATAATAACTTGAAGTGTTGATAACGTTTAGAATACGGGAATTTTTTCCGGGGTTTTTTTTCCGAAGGAATTTCTTTGCGGGGCTTTTTTACAACTTTTTTGTAAACATATGTTTTTACCTTAGCTTTGAAATATATCGTTCTTCGGATCATTTTAAGCAAATAGTCTATGAACATGGAAAGGGATGTAAGTTAATATATCTAATTTTTCGTTAATCTTTTAGAAATCAAATTTGTTTAATTTGAAACACTTTAAAAAGAATAACAGAATTGTAAAAAACCTACCTAATGAAAATTGGTAATTAAGATTGTATTGGAATAAGTCGTTTGTCCTAATTTGCATTGTTTATTGATTACTGTAGCAAATTATTTGTCAATTCAATATAGTTCATATGTTTACTTTTTCTAGTGAACATGAATATATCACTATGACGGAAGTGCTACAATTTCAGTTGTTTGATANCTAATGACAAAAAAGCTGTGATTGTTGTATATAAAGGCATTCTATAGTATATTTACTATCAGCATTGCACCCGTGCGAAGCATAGTGTACAAATAATACCATTAAACCAATTCCTTAACCCCTATCCCGGTATGTTTGAAGAAGTTTCACTTCAGTAGCATGTTGTATAATTACACGTTGTATTTTTTTTGTTGAGAAAAAACTAAAAACTTTTGTAACAGTTTCGGAAAAACAAAATTAATTACTTGAAGATCCTCACTCATCACACGGTAAAAGGACTAACGTAATATAAAATAATTACGTAAAATTGGTCTCAACGCACGCGATCGCCTGACAACGCAACAAAACCACATTACCGATTAATTACGGAATTAAAATTAATGTCACCATAAGAAAGCATTTTTATAAGACCAGAAGCGTTACCTATAAAACTCTTAATATGTATAGTATGCCCCAACAACCCTTTTTACGAGAAAAACTAATCAGAAAATGGTAGTTGGAAAATATCCTCTGGGAAAAAAAGCCCCCAGAAAAAAGTCCCCCGGAAAAGAATTTCCCCTCTCGGAAAAATGAATACCCTTGATTTATTATAATGTGATGGTAAAATTTATTAGGAATGTAACGTGGTTCGGTTATCAGACAGTTTTTATATCTGTATATTGACAGAATACATGATTTAGTATACTACATGTACATAAAAAGAATCATATGTTTGTTATTATTGCAGAAAAGGAAATTCTTTTATTATTTAGTTCTCTAATAAATAATTTATATTTAAATTTCATAAATATTGTCACTGACAATGAAATAAACGTACACAATGTTCCTAATACAATTTAATAGAAACAAGAATAGATCGAGTAGATAATTAGCTATAACATTATCATCTGATGTTTTAAATTGTAAAATTACTAGGAAACAAACTTTTGTTTGTGAAGTATTGATATTCTTCGAGGTAATTAATAAATGCTTCTTGGGAAGTCAACTCCCAACATAATATTATCGTTACAGGTATTAGCAAAAATAAAACAAATCAAGTAGATAATTACCTAACTAGAACTCATGCTGTCTATTCAACGTTATCATCATCAAGATAGACAACAACTTGAAGTGTTGATAACGTTTAGAATAAAATTTTTGTGATTTTTTTCCAAAGGGGCAGTTTTTCCGGGGGCTTTTTCCTGAGGGGATTTTTCCGGGGCTTTTTTCCTGGGGGCTTTTTTCCTAGATCCTCAGACAATATGTGAATTTAAGGAAAACTTATCTAAATATAAAAATAACAAAATAACATAAAACCTGAAGGGAAGTAAAATTTCGTATTATATTTTATTCTTTTTTAAACACTCGTAAAAGAAAAGGAAATAATGTGGTTTTGTTTTGATTCATTCTGTCCAAGAAAAAGGCCTTTTGATTGCAAGCTTTCCTATAAGTAACTAAAGAAAAAGGATTTTAAGAGGGAGCTTTTTCTTTTTCGGCTTTTACGACGCCATTAGCGTCACAAAGGAATCCGGCAATAAAGCCAAAGCCATAAAATATACGTATGGGTTTCTTAACCAATCGCTCCCAAGAGTTACGTAATAATTTTTGCAATTGATTTAATTCTGCTTACTTTTTGACAAACCGAAATGAGAACTGGTGGTCGCTTTGGCATGTTTTTCATCGTAACCGAGTTGTTTACAAACCACAGACGCTTCCAAAGAATCCCATTCGTCGTCACATATTGACCCCCATCGACCTCTATGCAATATTTCTAAGTTGCCTGGAGGAAAAATTATTAAATTGCTAAGTTAATGAAGGATAAATGACCTGAACTCGTTAGCTTTCTTTCTCATGTAATTATTCACTCAAAAATGTAAATGCAACAAACCAAAAACAAAGCAAAAATTAATCAACAGGATCCAATCGCATATTTTGTAAAAACAACCCATAAATTTGCAGAACTACCGAAAAACAAAAGCAATACGAAGAAAAACAAAATTAAACAGTTTTTCGAAAAATTCGTAGGGTTTAGTTCTGGGAAAAACTATAGAGAAAATGGGAAAATTTTTAAACGGTTAATACTTTTTATTTTTGAGAACATTAGTATTCAAATTCCATTTTTGCTAGAAAAGTAAGGTAAAAGACTAATAAAATTATAACGAATTTGATATCTTTCGTAAATGAATTAATTTTGTGCCTACGTGATAAAATTGATCCTTAGATAGTAAAACAATTAATATAGATATTTATCCTTCGGCATTCTAGTAATTAAAAATATTTTTATTTACAAACTTTGTAATGGTTTGTTCTATAACTTATCAAAAAAAAAAAAAAACATTTTCTGTACTTGCCCTCGAATTCATCCCGTCCACCCACTAACTTTATAGCGCCGTCTTCTTTTCTTAATCTTTTAATATGTTTTTTAATCAGTCCGGCTTTCTTGGCCTTTAAATCTTCGTGATCATTATTACAATTACAAAAAGGAAATAGAAAAGAAGCTAGGACTAAGAAGAAAAGAAAACGGTTATAGTTTAAATGCATTTCTGAAACGCGAACTAGATAAGATGAGCGACTTGTAAATTTAAATTTTGCTTTGGAATAAAGTTGAAACACTGACCTTTGCGATGTCAGGGATAAAATACGCCTTTCTTTATCTGTATGGTTAATTATTATAATTGCGAATAATTTAGAATTTAATATTGATTTAAATGCATAAAACACATTTAAGCAGAAAAAAAATGCCAAAGATAAAAGTAATAAGAAAAGTCATTCTTTCGTTGATAGTGAGAGTAGTAGTCATATACCTACGGTGATATTGTTTTTAGATTTTTATAAAGTTTCCGTTTTTGTTTAAAGTATTTGTTTATATTACCTGCTGATCATGTCGAAGTCAATTTTATACTCATAATTACGTTAGTTAGAATGTTCTGAAGTCATTTGAAATAAGTCGTAATGGGCACATTATTAATCAAATGCAGAGGGTTATAAACACAAGCCACACACACTTTTTACATTATTTTGTCAAGCAAATTATAAGAAATTAATAAGTAAAGTTTATCATACATAAATGCAAATCTGTTTTTTACGTATAGTTATTAGGTATCCATTACTTTCGATGTAGTTCCAAAAAACAATGGCAAAATCCATTCTAATGTTATCTGATAATATTTGTTGAAAAGCTAAGGAATTTAGTATTTTTTGTTAGAATAGGAATTTAACGATTAGATTCAACAGCTACAACCGAAACAATCGACAGTGGACACGCAGTCTCGCATATGTACAACCGACTCAAAAGAAAATGAAAACTAAATCCAACCATATGAACACTAATCTAAGGTCAATATGGCCTTACGCGTAGGTGTATCAAGTTTGTAGAGACGATCATTTGAATAAACATACTTAATAACTCTTAATGTTAGTGAACATTTCAGGATTACCAAATTTGGTTTTGAAGGCATCAAATGAAAAATACATGTGTCTGTGTGTAAAAAACATCGCAAAATTCAACACATACTTACTGAAGGTTTTAAACAAAATTATGAAGTGAGAATTTTTGATCTTCAATTTAATTTCATTCCAAATAATAAAAAAAGTTATATCACAAAAACATTTTAATGGTCTTTTTTTAATATACATCGATTATCTCTACCTAAGATATATGATAATAATGTACGCCAAAATTGTGTGTAGAATGAATAAACATCCAGTTGTACGAATGGAATCCAACCTTTGGAAACTGCAGTTGTCTACTCTATGGTCTTGTTGAATTTTATATTATGTACTCATGTTGCGTTTTCGATTAATAAATATTATATTATACAGTGTTTGCGTTTTGACTACTCAAAAACAATATAAAAAACAGGAACTTAAAAAATTACACATCTGAAATCTCAACAGACAATAATTAGACGTTACATTTAAGTTGTTAAGTCTTCAAAAACTTTGAGCAAATTTGAAAAAAGATGGGAACTTTTAATTAAAATTTAGTCGTTAACCATTTTAATTGTATTAATTAATCGCTCCTAAGTTATAAATTTTGATGTTGTAATAACTGAAAGCTCTCTAAACTTAAATATTACCACATTTTTTATTTAATACGGTGAGGTACTCCTATCTTTTGATGAATGCATAAGGACGATTCTACTCAACTAAAAAAATTTCACTAGGAATTTTGTTGAGATTTCAAAGTGTTAACAAACATATGTACACCTAACAATGATCGATTGCAATTTTTAAAAAATATACTTACAAGTTTCTGTCCGACAATACATTTATCTTATAAAAAGGTATAAAACTTGTCAATTACAATAAAAAATTACTAATAAATGCCAAAAACTGCGCTCGCGACCGTAGCTATACATAACGACGACGAAAGTGACAACAATCTACGACGTTACGAATATTTTAAATTTAACAATATTTAATTGTATGTAATAGTAATAGTTATCATAATAATAGTACACTTGCCGCTAGCAAAAAATGTAACGAACGTTTACATGTTGGGGTAATTCACGAAAAAAGGTTAAAAAAAATCTAAAATGCGCTTCGCCAGTAAATTTTTTGTGCTTTTGACAAAATTCAAATTATTGCAAAGAAGTTATAAAATGTTTGTCTAAATATCAATTGAGAAGAGAATAAGGAACTATTTGCGTCCAGTTTGTACCAAAAACATAAAATGGAAAACAAAAAATTGGTATTTGTTTAGTCCATTATATCTTTAAAATGTATAATCTTTACCAAAATCATGCAATTGGTTCGTTACAAGATTTTTATAAAAAATTTATTTCATGCGGTCTAAGTATCGAAATTGAAAAAATTTCTATTTTAAGTACTATTTACAGAGAAAGATTACAACAGTTGTTGTAAAAACTAACGATGACGATAATAATAGCAATAGTTATAATGTCGACGATAATAACGTAATAATAATTATATTAATGATTATGAAGTTGATGATTATCATGATAACGAACACGTGTTTTCACGACCAAATTGTGCAAAAGAGGTAAAAGGAAGACAATGATGGTAGTTATAAATTTCTTTTCAATTCTTTAATTAATTGATTAATAAAAAGGTGATGAAATCGTTTCTTAAGTACTAAATACCACATCATCAGCTCTCTAGACCCTGGGGTAGGAGCGCCGGATTGATTGGTACCGGCCGCAGGCGAGGGGGCAATTTTTTCTGAAATGAAGATTTATTAATATTTAAAAAGTGACAGGAAATATCTATACTAGAAAACTAAAACTCTGAAAGTTTCCTATCCCGACTTCAACTAATACAATTTCTCAATATAAATAAAAAGAAACAAATTACCTTCCGCCTGAAAGGAAAGCACCCTTTATTTTCAGGATTACTAGGCGAGTTTAATATCAGATCAGGGGACCGAGTGCCACCGGGGCCGAAAACGTTCAACTGTCTAAAGCAGTCTGTTTCGATCATTTCGTTTTGCCAAGGGATCGACACACAACCTGTGTTAAATTTACTATAAAACGTACTATCGTTAGCGTCAATATTCACACCCTTAACAGTAGAAAATTGCTCGATATCTAACACGTCTTTTGCATAAACGGCATGAGGCTGCAACAAAAGAAAATAAAATTAATTAATAAATACAACAGTAAGAAATATTATAAAGTCTAATTGTATATTTAAATTACATCTGGCACAAAAGGAGCTTCCACCAGGCCGGCTTCCAGTCTTCTCCAATTAATACTTTGAAAGAATATGTGTTGCTTAACCAAAACAGCCCCGCATCTACCCGATCTGCCCCCGAGCCTTTGCGCGGGGCTCTTGGCCAGTAATTGTTGGCACAGAGATTTGGCATCTTCCGTGAATTTATTCGAATATTTTTCCTGTTCCGTTTTGACTCGTCTGTCAACATCTTCCCTTTTGACCTTCTCCTTTCGCGCCCTAAACGGAGCCTGGCCTTCAATCATTTCATACAATAAACAACCAAAACTGAACCAATCTGGGGAAAACGTATAACGTTCGTTGTCAATCACTTCTGGTGCTATTAAAAAAAAAAAAGAATATTTATGCAATTTTTGTTTAGGAAATGTATTTAAAATAAATAACCTACCCATGTAACCCACTGTTCCTACTCTGCCTCTTACAGATTCCCCTTCCGGAATATCAACTGCCAACCCTAAATCTGAGATCCTAACGTGACCTTCGTCGTCTAAAAGTATGTTTTCTGGTTTGCAGTCTCTGTATACAATCCCCTGTAATGAAATTTATAAGCTCTAAAGAAGTAATTTACACTTTCCGGATTTTTTTTAAACTCTATTGGCACATTTTACTAGACGAAAAACACCTGAGAAATTTAAAATTAAATAATCTCAACTGACAAGAAACAATAGACCTTTTTTACTACATAGTTTGTTAGATAGTAAAAGGTTTATGAGTAATAAATAGGAGCTTAAGAATATTAACGATTTCCTGCAAATTTCATTGTAATTCTCTTAATAATTTACGACAAAAAATAAAAACAAAACAAAAGATAAAACGAAGATAAGGTTTCGTTATTAATTCCTTTATCTAAGAGATAGGTATATACATATTTAATGTACATTTTAATCCAGAAATTTAACGTTTTAATACTGGCAAAATACCGATTCAAACGAAATCTACAACTTTTCTAAACTGTAGGAAATTAAAGAAGCAAGTGATGAAAAGTTTGCTGACGTCAAAAGATAACCTTATGGTATCTATGTACACAAATAAATGACGCGATTTAAATGCTAATAGGATTCTTTTAGTGATTGTTGTTTAACAAAACCGTTTTCTGTTAAACGAAAAGAAATGTTTAGTTGCGTGTCAAAATCTCGGTCAAAACAAACAATCTCAAGGATACTAAAAAGATTCACCTCTAGAGAAAAAAAATAGAAAAGAAGGATTCACAGTAAAAATACAAACTGAGGAATAAATTCAGGAGAAAAAGTAGGACAGCATGTTCTAAATTTAAAAACGCGCTCGTTTCAGAAAAAGCGACGAATTTGTAGAGTAAAATATGAACCTACAACAAAAATTTGCTGAAGACATATTTTAAGTTTTATTTAATTAAAGCCGAGTTGCACAAAGATCAAAAAGTGAACGAATTAACTTTACTTACTTTCAATGAAATATTTGGAACGAAGATTAAAATGAAAAATATTACTGCTATTAAGAGAGAATAATCAGAACGACCACCTGAGGTCATTATAACCCTGCAATCTTTATTAATATATGTATACATATTACGTGGTAACTTATATTCCTTTAAAAGAATCATTCGTGTTGCAAAAAAAAAATCGAAACATTACAGTAGGAAAAAATATATTTTCAAGAAGTTTTTATCCTATACCTGTTGATGTAAATGATCGAGTCCACAGACAACTTCGGCAGCATAGAACCTGGCTCTGGCAATGTCAAGTCCAGGCTCGCCTCCCATATTGTATATATGAAATTTCAAATCGCCACCATTCATTATAGTAAGTACAAGACAAAGAGCATCTTTAGTTTCATAAGCGTATGCTAAACTAACCACGAACCTTGAGTTTATTTTTTGCAAAATCTGCTTTTCTGTTAACACCATTGCTTCACCTTTTCTTTTCTTAATTCGTTTCTTTTCTAATTTTTTGCAAGCATACATTTTTCCAGTTGCTCGTACCTAAAACACAATTAAATAAATACTTTATTTGGGTAAAAATACTTCCTGAATTTGATACACAAAAAATCATAAAGTAGTTTTAACTGTAAATCTGTTATAAAGGCTGATATTTTATTTTATTTTATTTAAATATTTACAGCAGTTAGAGCCATATAAAACAAAAATATTTAAAAATACAATGAATGGTTTTATAAAACATAAGAATTTGCAAATTTATTAATGTAGAAAACTAAGCCAAGCAAATGCACTTGGGAGTAATTCAAATATAAAGGTTACAGAAAAAAAAAAACAAAACCAGATGTTTAAAACAGAACGTCAATGGCCTCTATCTTTTAAATATATCATAATATATTAATGTTATATATGAAGCGTGTCTTTGATGTCCTTGAATGATAAAAAAAATTGGAAATTATTCATATATATTTGGTACATATGTATGTATACTTAATATTATTTCATTAAGGGTCCGTAATTAAATACTGTGATAATAAACCCACAAAAAGAAATTTTATCTACCACTTCCTAACAATGAATAAAGATTAAATTAAAAAAAAACCACAAGCAATAACAAAAATTACCCCAATCAATCATTTTTTCAGTAAATAGAACTTTTCAATACTGTATGACAAAAATAATTTATTAATGGAGCATTAGCATTTTTATAGAAATTTATCATTTCAATACATGCACATTTAGAAAATATACATTTAATGATAACTCGAAATATCTATTCTAATATTTTGGGGATTAAGTAAGTGGTGCCTTATACAAAAATTATGAGAGAAATATCAACGTGAAAGATCACTTATGTTTATTTCATGTTTATTCAAGTAAATATTAAAATAAGCATGTCCAAACCAAATTAACATAATATATAAAAAAAATGTATTTACCTGACAAGCACATACTTCACCAAACCCTCCTTTTCCAAGAACCCTATACATACGAAACGTTTTGTATGTAACAGGTTGTGCCTCAAGCCACTTCCACTGTAGATACCGATGAAAATACATTGATTTTGTAAAATCTTTAAAAGGTTCCACAGCCAAAAACGTCTTAACCACTTGAATACAAGGAGCAAAAAGATCCTTATGTCCATTGATTAATTTATCCCCTGCAGCAAGCTCAATTCCCACCTCTGGAAGGGACAGGATCTCCTCTCCTTCCCTTCCAACCATGAACTCCTTCTTGATGGCATCTGCAAGTTCGATTCTTTGATCATCAGTCTCAACCTCATAACGTTCTGTAGCAGTTAAAAACTTAAGGCAACGGTGATATTGGGGTCTTTTTGCCTCACACCACTGTTGGAAAAGGAGCTTCCCAATGGGCTGCTGATCCACCACATACTCATATCGCACATCTGTGAATGTAATATATCCTGAAAGTTGGTAATTTGCTGTTGGTGATATATATATAATTAGATCTCTAATGAATTATTTTAATGTTTTCTTTTACTGAATGTGCATATTTAAAGCACTTATTGTGGGATCACTTAAATAAGGTTGTCTAACACATTTCAAACCAAGGACAAACAGGACTATTTTGCTAATGTAAATCACTACACCTCTAAGAATGTGAAACAACTTACAAATAGAATAGAAAGAGAATACTGACAATTTTCATTAACAAGAATATCATAATTAAACAGAAAACATACAGAACGCTTCACTAAAATATAGTGTTTGTAATATGATAAGATTATAAGATTAAGCTTTACATAAAGAAAAGTGATGAAAGACTGCAATGTAACTGAGAAAATAAATATATCCTAATTGTAAATAATACTTTAGCCAAATAGTTAATGCTGCCACATATAAAACAAAATGGACACACGAAGTACTTACTTGGTTTTAAAAGCCAATCTCCCAAAAATTGAGGAATAGAAAAACTATTGCCTGCTCATGTACTTATTTCAAAAATTGTTCAATAGGTAAACTCTTTTAAATTCATTTTTATTCTTACCTAATTTGTTTAGAAGGTCTAGGCATTGTGAGATATGTGGAAATTGTAAAATCTTCCTCCACTTTTTACTTTTACCCTTATTACTATCAGAACCACCTGAAATAGGACAGTGTCCAGTAGAAAAATTAAGTAACAAAACAAACTAATGCTTTCATTAATAGGTAATTAAACAATTGAATTTATGAGAAAAGGAAACATAACCTATACTTTTTTTTACTCGACTTACCCTCTCGTGCTTTCAAATACACCGTATTTGCAACAATATTTTCCAATTCCATTAGTTCCAGTTTGGATGAATTTATATTTTCCCGCCTCTAGGGAGTAAAAACGATCCGCTTCCATTAATTATTAAACTGGACTTAAACTTTCAAAAACAACACTTCTGACAACCATACCGATTCATCAAAACATTAATTTACAATTCACAACCACTACAGGAGCCACAAACTATATTCCGTAACAAATTTTACATAAATGTTATACCGAACCTTTCAGTCAAACCCCTTTATATTTCAATCAAAAGAATAATAATTTTGAGATGAAGACGTGTTGCGTGGAATTAAAATTGGAAAAAATTGGGATACTGCGAGAAACGATAGGGGTGTTCGCGCTATGCAGGGTAGGCGTAAGGCAATTTCAAGAAGGGGTGTGTCCGCCTAGTCTATGAAACTACCCTTACTATGGTAGTATCGGCAGTGCAACTCGGTAAAACTTTCTCTGTGAAATTCACATCGTTGGCACGACATACGCGTTTTGAATACTTTATCAATCGCCATGTGTAAACTGATGTAGTGTGATATGTATAATGTAAAATTCTGAACAGTTAACGAGACGATATACAGATTAACTGCGACCGACAAGAATAGAAAACAAGTGGAAAAAGGAAAACATTCACAGAATAGTACAAATGAGGACCGCTTCATTTCAATGAACTCTATCGCCTAGATAGATCACCAATACAGCATTAAACAAGGATAAGAATCCTTTATTTAAATATAAGTTAAATTAAGCGCACTCATGCCACTTATAAGGCTTTCATTTGTACATTGTAATTCTAAACACATAAATAATTATACTTTGTATTAATTCAACAATTTTTTGAATAAATAAATAATTATATATCTAACGTAACATGTTCTTGTCTCTTACCTTCTTACCTTTTAATGGAACAAATAGCATCTGTATGAAGTATTTTGAAATGAAAATATATTAAAAGATTGCTACATGCATAAAATTGTTTTTTCGCATGGAAAATAGCATAATTAATATCTATTTACAATTACATATTTTTTTAGTTTTTGTTCTGTTTAATTACGGGTTCGCTTGACATATGGTCCATCACCTAAAAATTCCCACAATTTTCTATGTTTGTACAATCAACTATTACAGCACGATAAAGAAACGTTTATCGCAAATACAAGTTAATAAAGTATCAAAAATAACTTATAAATAAACAAACGAGAAAAACACTCGGTAAAATGATTTTACTCCATGACGGGAAATTATGAATATTAGATACTGTTTTTTGCTGTGATGATAAATAATTGATTACTAACGAAGCTTGAGTAAAAACAAAAAACAAATCTTAAACCAATTACTAAATAAATATTTAGATGTATAATCTTATAAAATTCAAAAATATATTTAAGCCCGGCCCTGAAAACGCGAGTATCTGTTTTACTATAAATTAACAACATTAATAAAACTAGGAATTGTGAAAATAGATTATTACTATTACCTTTTTACGTCAAAAAAAAATTCCATACCTAACTGCAGCGTAATTGTTCACTTACATGTTGCACCTTTTATATGCACTATATGACGCAAAAGTATTTAAACTTTTGTTGTAATTCATATAACATATACAAAGCTGATTACTAAAGATTATGATTATACTTAACATTAGTTTACATTTTCAATGCAAATCAACTAACCCATTAAAAATGGACAAAAGTCTAATTTCAATTTTAGGATAAATTTATTATCTCATCGTATCAGTAGGATATGCATAACAATCTATAATCATTACAAATTATAAATTTTATGCAAATTGAAAGAAAAATGAAATAAACTATTTTATTTTATTATGTGTGCTTTTTACTTCAAATAAATGCGATAAATTTATGATATTTTTAAATATTGAAATCATTTCTTAATTAAACTAATAAACATCTTAATTAAATTAGAGCACATTATTTGATTTCGTATTAATGTTTACTTATTTTAAAAACAAAAAAGTCTATTGTCCACATGTTTGATTACAAATTAGAACTGAATAGTGGTTAATACGTCAATGTCCACTCAATTGAGTCATTTTGATAACATGCTATTTATTATGAATTTATTAATTTTCAGTGACTAAAAACGAATTATTACATTGCTAGTGTAATTGTTCAGTACGCTGTTCAAGTACCTATATAAAAAAAATGTTATTAATTACAAATTATATGTATAAGCATTACGTCGTGGTTTTTAAATTTCCTTTAAATGTAAAATTATATAGAAGTTATTAAAAATATTATAGTAATTGCTTTTGTGATGTAAAAATAATGATTTTATTAAAAAAAGAGGAAAATGAGTGAAAAAATAATAAATACCGACATAAATATATATATATTTATGAAGCTGTTTATTGATATAGGATTATTTTATTAACAAACAATAATACGAATTATGGGATGTTTATAGTATTTCCAAATTCCTCTTGTAGTCTAAAAGTTAATTTTACAGTTGAAAAATTTCATTGATTTTGTTTGCGGATAGATCGTTTTTGCCTTACTACAAATGATTAAATTATTTTGATGAGGTAAAAAATGCAAAAATGTATTTTAGTTAGTCGTTTAATATTGCAGTATTTTATTTAACATCATAAAAATATATCTATATAAAAATAAGTAGGTATAGGTACAAGAACAAATAAATATTTTGTGATTAGATATTAGTTGGTGATGACTACACCTTTGTAAACATATCTTGATTCCCGAATTAATCCTGGCCATAGATAGAATCTAACCACGTTAGATTTTCTGTCAGATGAATGATGCCTTTGGTGTCTTTCTGGATGAAACTGTACCGGTGCTTGAAAGTCGGCGTCTAACTCAAAAAAAGGCTCTTGATTTACCAAATACCAACAAGTTCTGGTTACGTTACCAATAAACCTCTTTAACGGCAAACACGACTCCAAACATCTTCAGCAATAAATATTGTACATAAATCAATGATATATTCATTAGTGAATGCATTTATTAACTAAATCTAGTAGAGAAAAGGACAAAATTAGAGAACTTCAAGGGTTCTTCGAATGAATAATTAATTCAGAGATCACTCACACAGTTATTTAGACCACCATCAGAAAATTTCCTGTTAATAACAGAGTGTTTAATAAAAATAAATAGGAAAGAGAAGTCCTGAACAATCAAAAATTGTGTAGCCGATTTTTTTCAGCTAATTGTTTTTCAAACAATCTCCAATTATTAACTTGGTTAAAAAAATGTTTAAAAAACACTTTAAGAATCACAAAAATAAAACGAAAACAAAATCTGCATAAATAAATTCCGATTAAGTCAAATTCAAATCTATTTAAATTTTGCATTGAGGTTTTTTTAACAGTATACAACACCAATAATAATAAATTTCAAAATAAACAATTCTTCTCGGTATCTCGAAAGCTATTATCATTTGTAAATTTGACTAATAACTTCATAAATGCTAAGCAAAAGCAGAAAGTGGTGCCTTAACAAGGATAGTAACCTTTGAAGTCCTTGTATGACGATTTTTATAAATAATTATTTTACGTATTACAAAATATAGTAGCTTATTTAATAAGAGTAACTTGATTACAATTTTATTGGAAATAAATGAAATAATATGTACTTATCTGTATTTACCTGTATTCCTTTAATGTTTCCGAAACGAGACCATGAACTTGACGTTCAATATCATCGAGGGGAAAAGAATTGAAAGTTGATGAAAAACACTTCATGATGTCACTGCGTAGTCGGCGCGCAGCTATAGTCTGGGAAGTGACATGCAAATTGCAAAGAGCTTCTCGTAACTTCATGTCCCTTAGATTCCTACAGGATCTAAATGAAAGCTGCAAGACAGTATTTATTTTTACATGTCCGATATGCATTTATATTAAGTTTATTATTTATTGCAGTGGCAAAATTTTGAAATGAATTAACATTAAAAAAATATCATTTTAAGGGACTGTCTCCAATTTTAAAGCTGAATATTTCAGAAACAAGACACTTAATGAAAATGAAAATTGTTTCAAAGGTAAAAACAGGATCCCTATTTAAGGTATCAAAAATTTCATTTAGATTGGTTTACAAGTGTAAAAAATATCAACATTATTTCATACCACTACAACAGAAAATAGAATTTTAGCTTTCAGTTGAGTGGCGTATTGTAAATCTGGCAGTGAATCCAAAGCTTCCAAAGCCCTGGGCCTGCTCTGGTAATATAATTTGCCATACTTTGAGATCGCAGTTTCTCTGTAAAAAAGTAGGTGAATTTAATATTCAGCGAAGTGCAATAAATCTTCACACATGTACACACGTAAAGGGTCAATAAAAAAATATTAACGGTTACCCATCTTCGTTTTCTTGTTCGGATTCTGAATGATATCCGTCGCTACTGCACGGACTTTCACCGAGTTTCACCAAATCTAGAAAAGACTCGCATCCTCTAGAGAAAGACATTAGAATTGATGCTACCGGTTTGTCTTCATCGATGGTTTGAAGTCTAAAAAAGGGCAATAATATAAATAACAACAAAGGAAAGATGTAGTCAGCAATTTGTTATTTGTTCTTCTATTTTGTCATAAAAGTTTAGTAAACTTGAAAAATAGAACAATATCATACTAAAGAAGCAAAAATGCTCTCTTTTGTAATATTTCAACAGATTTAAAAAAAAGGCATTTCTTTTGTATGTTTATTAGGCGTTAATTGGAAAAAATTTCCATCTGTAAGGATGAAAAATTGGAGAATGATAAGAAGACTAATTGAAAAGATTACGCAATCTCGTCATTGTATAGGCTACATTTCAAGTGATTACATGAAAAAAATGGGAAAGTTTTTAATTTTTATTTCTTAAAATCGATTAAAATGAAATATTTTTTAATGCATAAGAAAATGATGTCAAAGTTTAAGAACTTCTCGCTTTAAAACCTTTTGATTTGTGATATGCAGAACAAAGCCTCCTTGTCATTTTCAACCCGTGCTGATAACGTCTTTATAAGCGAAGTCAGTTGTTTCAGGGCTGGTTTGTCTAATATCGTCAGTAGAGTTTTGTTATCTATCAGTCTTTGTTCAACTTCTTCAAAATTAAGTGATAACAGTCGGTGGTGTGAAGCATCAACAGGCTTCTTGATATTGTTTGCAGTCACCCCCAGCTCTTCCAGCCTGTGCAGGGCGGATTTATATGTTTCTATGTATAATTGAAGTTCTGTTTTTAATGCCAAATGGAGAGGTGTCAAACCTGAGGCGCTTGTAGTCAAACCATGACATCCCAAACCTGTAAAAGTTTGTTGTTTTCAAATTTTTTATTGTCGCAGATTGGTTTATTGATTATTTGTGATGTACCTTGTACCGTTTGGTCGAAAGTTTTCTTTCTTGTTGCAATTAAACTATATAAATCGGGTTGAAATTCGATAAGATTTTGAGCAACCCTGGAGATTTGGAATTTCAATCCGAATTCCTGTTGCGAAGAAAGCAAGCGGATTAGTTGCCACAACACTGGTTCGGCGTTGAAAATTCCTCTTTGACCGGCTGCCACTAATCTATTTATGTAAATTTAAAAAATTATCCAACTTTGTACTTCTCCCCCTAATATAAATAAACAGGGCTAAATCTAGCAGTTGAAGGAGTGAAACATTTTTTATTTATTTCTATTAGCAATT